ATGATGACAATGATGACAATGATGACAATGATGACAATGATGACAATAATAATAATAATAATAATAATAATAATAATAGTAGGACACCATACGACGACCGGCTTGTCCTAATAGTAAGAATAACAATAATGGTTAGTTCATAATCATTTTACTACTTGAAAGCAAATATATTCGAAGTTTTAGGTATAATATTACTATGGATCGCATAGTACGCAACAACCTCGTGCGTAATTAAAATTTCTTCACGTACGTTTGGGCAGCATTGTATCTACCATTATAGGTGTTTCTTATGTAAAAAAGTACGCTCTACGACTTTCATTTGAACATTTTTGTCGAAAAATTAACCACAAAAAAGTTATGGCGTGTTTTATTAGAGAAAATATAAAAAAAAAATATCAAAAAATTTGCAAAATTTACAGTGAAATTTGGACTTTTCGCCAAATTTCACTGTATTAATGATATATTTGACTATTTTATAATGCATATTCTTAAAGTTTACACTTTTCTGAATAAAATTCGCCACTAATAATTTCAATTTTATCAAGCCAAAGATGTGAAAAAAAATCGAGAAGAATCCTATGTTCAAGACGCCATTTTTTATTGTTCCGACGCGCGAACTTTAGCGAACTTTCGTTTATTTACTTGTCACACGATGTACTTTCGATATTTCATAGTTAGAGCTGGTTATCTCGTCGTTGCCGGTTACTCGCATTTTAGAAGGCTTTTGGCAGTTGAGTTGCAGGCCTATAATGTATTGGTGTCTGTCTGAAAAACAATTAGTACGCCTTTGAACTTCGGTATATAAGCATACGTTGGTCGGCGCTCCGCGTTATGTCGTGCGTCGTTATCCTCTTACGAAATGCATTCTCTATTGTTACGGATTCATGCATGTAAGTCCGCCGTTTCTCTTTGATACATATATGCTCATTAGTTTCCGGTAATATTGATTTTTGACTATTGTTCTTCTAGCGGTTTTTTATGACTATTTCGAGTAAAATCCTCGTAAATACAGGAGTGTCGGTTCGTGACAAAGTTTAATTTACCAGGTATCTATTTTATTATTGTTGACCATGTATTTTATCTCATCGACCAGATTCACATTGTATTATTTTATTATCTAGATGCTTGAAAAGGGCCCAATCCGAAGGGCCGAAACGTCGTAACGTTTCTTGTACATATTTTGACAATTGTAGTCGAAAGAAATAAATCTTTCTTGTTTAATTGTCATTGGCGTTACAAACAATCAATTTCTGTTATTTAGTTATTGATTATTATATTATATTCCTGTTAAACAATGACGAGAATTTTTACAAGGATGTTAAACCTACTGTATTATCACCGATCAGTCGAGATTTTGTAAATGTGACTGGTCACGGTGGTGATCAGTCGTTATAAATTTGCAAACACAATATTGGCTCGCTCGTCGATCC